GAGAACGAATACAGCAGAATCGTGAGGTCAATGTCCCAGCCCGTAGGGCCACACCAACAACAGAACCCAATGTAGCTCTCTCTCTGAATGGCGCTGGCGCCCTACCTACACTACTCTCTACAGCTACAACTACAGCATGATCACAACCAGACGACTTGAAGACCAGCGTGCTTGACGTCAACACCAATGCCGACCTCCTCTCTGCACGCCAGGTAAGTACCTCTGTTGCTCCCCACTCTTATCCCGTCTCCCCACTCTCGTGCCTCCTTCCCGAAGACCACCTTCGCCTCCCTACCTCTCACTGCGCCCAGCAGCCCGGCTATGGCTGCCGGCGCTCGCTGCTCTGCAGCGCCCCCACACCTCTGCGCCCGCTAGCGCGCTTGACCATCCAGTGCAGCATGCACGCACTCGCTACACAATGCAGCAGCGTGCCGACAATGCCGCACCGGCCAAGATGCCTTCCCCTGCGCCCAGACTGCCTATATGCCGTGGTAGGCGCGTGTGCGGCTCCTCTAGCCTGCGACTGGGCCCCGGTATCTGTGTCCAGGCCCAATGCAGATGGGGCCCAGACTTTTACAGTTGCACCCATCAGCCCAGGGCCGATGTCCAGATTCAGATAGCGGGCCAGTTTCCCATTGGTACGCTCGGCCTCTACGACGACAACGCTGCTTTTCGATTGGCCAGCGTCCAAGGTGTGATGTGTCGGCCCCCCCTGGCTTGTGCCCAGGGCTCAACCAACTGAGGCCCTGGGCTCAACTGCTTCTGCAGGAGTCTGGGCTTCACGATGCACTCCAACCAACTGGCGTGCTGCAACTGTCTGATACCCATTTCTCGAAATGCTGAAAGAAAAGCCTCTCGTGGATATTCTGGCCCGCCTTCACTTAGGAGGGGCATGAGGCTTGCTGGGGGCCTTAGCCCAGAACATATGCATGTTGGCAAGGCCCCAAGGAGGGCTCAATCCTCACACTCGTGAGCAAGAGGGAGAAAAAAAGCCTACTCTGCTGAATGGTACACAAACGTAACTCTTGATGAGCGGATCATGAAGTGCGAAACCAGAGAAAAATCGAATCAGATGGATACATTAATGTCAATAAATTTGAATAAGAAATTGTAAAATTAGTATTGGGGGCAATAGTAACAAGTTCTAATAATAACAAAAAGAGAAGTTACTGAAGTATAATAGTATATAAATCAGCAAATTTGAAATTTCCCTGCTCTGCGTCGACGCCCACCAGGGGCATCAATCCACATATCCGTAAAGCAATTGTCTTTATCCGTATGCTCCCAACTCTCCTAACCTTGAAGATGAAATCCGCGAGAATAATTTTCGATGTTTTCATAGTGTACCATTGGCATTTTTCACTTTCATTTGGACCAATTGTGCTAAGCAAAATAGAGTTGGACCTTGGAATAAACTACATCAGGCAGATGTGGCACCGAGTTTCTGTGGTACATTGTCTAAAGTTCCTCTAAACCAAAATAATTAAACAAGGTCCAACTCTATTTTGCTTAGCACAATTGTTTAATGCTTGGTTTAGAGGAACTTTAAACAAGGGTTCATTGTGCCCTCAACTATCTTCGTAAACCACCAGTAAAGCTTTGCCGAAACACCAGCGCCACGCTTTTCTTTTAGTTTTGGCTGGTGCCGCCAGCCATTTTTGTACGGTTGCCCCGAGCCTCCGATTTTTCCGGGGAGGCTCAATCACGATTCTCAACTTGGCTGGGTTCCATGTACTGGTGGTTTAACCTTTGGGACAGCACTCCCATAATGCAGGTTGTTGTTGTGTTGGGCCAAAGCGGCACGGCTGACGTTTTCACCAGTGTGTATCAGCAGTTATCCGCTCTTCCAAGCAGCCTGTCTCTCCTCCCCCCAGCCGACCCCAGGAAACAAAATTAAAAAAAAGGAAGACATTTATCACTGCCTCATTGACTGTAAAGTAGCAACAGAACATTGGGCTCGGGCAAGCGACTTATGGACTCGACTCTTCTCTATCCCCTTTCCTGAGCAGCCTGACCAGCTACCGTCATCCCCCGAACACACATTTGGGCTGTACCTGACCGGAAATATAGCTTGTATACATTCATTATCAGGGTGTGTTATGTTCGGGGGAAGATGGTAGTCCTGTGGTCCTGCGGACTAACATCCTCTCACAACTTCACAAGCCCAAAAGACTGCGGTACGGTTTCGTCCGAAAAAAAAGTAACCCTACGGGTGATCTGCAAAGAAAGATGCAGCATTCAGTGGACAAGACGAGGGGGAATCCGAGAGGTAAGGGGCCCGGCTCCACTACTCACCAAATGTGCAAAATGAGAGTGACATGGGAAGAAGGTACACCACCATATTTTTTGCCTTTTGTGCACCTGGTGTACTGCAGCGAGGCCCAAGGTATGGACAACAACCAAGGAGCTAATGGAGGCAGAAACCAGGTGCAAGGGGAGGCAGGCAAAGATGTACATGCAACAAGAGACCGAAAGAGAGCAAGAAATCGAGAAAACATTTCGCCGTATCTGGCTAGCACGGGGCAAAATAGCGACTATTTATAATTAAAAAAAAAAGCGACTATTACAGGTTTACAACTGTGGTAGGAAGACTGCCACAACTCCGAGCCTACAACGAGACTATAGAATACTACAACGAAGGAGAAACAGAGTCCAATATGGGCTTAACAAATCAAGGAGGTTTGTTGACTTATAGCAAGGTCAGGGAAGGCGTGTAGTGTTTTCGGGAATCTAGCGATCCAACACCTGTAAGGCCATCGGTTACCCCTATAAGGCCATCGGTTACCCATATAAGTAGTATAAGGCCATTGGTTTTCTGGCCTTCTATCCTTTGTTGGGTTCATGCCTACCATCTTCAGCCAAAGAGGATGCCCGGTCATGATTGCTGTATGAGCTTGTATCCATGGAGTGAAAATTGCCCCATACACAGCTGTAATGTGACCGGGCGTTCTATTGGACAAAGACGGTAAAATGGCCATACGATTCATGAATAGGGGGGATACCCTAAGGAACAGTAGTTTTCTTATTTCGGAAAGCTCTTTTGGAGCTAAATAGGTAAGATAGGGAAGTGAGAGATAACAGGGGTGCCTTTTTCATGATCTGAGCAGACTGCACACGCGTTGGATCTATTGGGATTGCTTCACTTTTCTGAGGCCCATCGACTCTTGTGTTTCTCGCAATTTCGCACTGTTTTAGTATTTCAGCAATAATTTCGCACTATTGTCTGATCCCTTGTTGATGCTGTTTTCGGTCTGTGTTACCTGTGGGGAAAGGTGTATTTTACTATTTCGATTGGAGGACAGAAAATAGCATCAGAAATTTCGAATCCAGATACGACCAGATGACCACACAAGTGGTTAACTGGGACTTCCACGTTCAGCTCCTCAGTAATGGGTCCAAACCTGAAATTAGGGTTTGGGGCCTTTGGGCCCTTTTAGGGTCAAATTTTATGTCGTGTCTTCAAGTCCGAGTCCGAGGTCTGGTGTCAAAAGTGAAAAGTTGCTGTCTATGGCCAAGAATTGCCTGAGATACCCCTAGGGGTAAACAGACTGGGGTGCAGGGGCTCAGAAATCAAAGCCCAGTGCCTGGGAAAAACACCCCATGGGCCTGAGGAAATCCAACAGTCAGGCCCAACCTGAGCACAGGAGCCCAAGCATTGAAGATTTTCCCAGAGGTGAAACTTGGCTACGGATCAGTCATAGTTTACGCGCTTAGACAGTTTCCACACACTCCCAGACCTGCTAGGACCCGGCACACCCAGGCCGTGACCAGATCCTGGCTGCACAGAGCAAGAAAATCTCAGCCGTTCGACGACGCAATGCGAGGCAAGCCAAGGTCGCGTCGGTACTACAAAAGCAGGCCCTGCCTCAGTTCGGGCACTCAGTCTGCCTGGGCGAGTTGACGCTGGATCTCGCACACTGGAGGAGAGAACAATTGTGCCTGCATGGCAGAAGTCGAGTTATAGGCGAGGCAACCATAGCTCAGAGGAGGAGGCTGCCTGTAGACCAGAGGGGCTGTTGTGAGAGACGGTGAGGACAGAAGGTTGGAGGTGTGATCTAGCTAGATTGTGGTAGAGATCTTTGCTCTTCCTTGTTGGTGCTCTTCGGTGTTGAAGACTTCCCTGCTGCTTGAGCTATGCTGCATTCTCGCCTTTGGCTCGATTGACCGGGTGCTTGCTTGGA